ACTACAAGGTCTGAAAGTGTTTCTTGCAGATCAGTGCAGTGAAATTGTGGAGAAGGCTATTTGTTATGCAACTACTACGTGTGAAGAAATGGACATTTCTATGGAAAGAAAAGGCAAACAATGCCAGGAGAGAAGGCAGAGGACGCTGGTCTCACATTGCCAGAGGAAATGAAAAGGGCTATGTTTGAGTGCCTTGATCGTTTTCATCACAAGTTGGAAATTCGTTTTAAGGCAATTGAAAAAATCCTTTCAATGTTTGCTGATATACAGCCAAACGTTCTGGTTGGAGCAACAGAAAAAGATATTTGTAATTATACTCCAAAATTGACTGAGATTTTTGAGGAATTCTCTAAAGAAGACTTCTTTAGGGAAATTGAACATCTTCAGAGGCATTTGGAAGCTGCCAAGATCAGTGTTGAAGAAGCAAAGAACTGGACGGTATTGCAGTTCCTGGGTTTCATTGTTAAATGGGATTATTGTGAATCTATGCCAAATTTGTCACTGTTTTTAAGATTCTTTTTGACTCTCTCTGTGTCCATTGCTTCATGTGAAAGAAGTTTTTCCAAATTAAAATTGATAAAAAATGTATTTCGCTCAACCATGAGTGAGACAAGGTTGACAAATTTGGCCATACTTTCAATTGAGCATGAATAAGCAAGGAAGATTAGCTTTAATGAAGTAATCAATCAATTTGCAGAAATGAAGGCTTGAAGGCAGAGGATGTGAATGATCTGCCGAATAGTGGTCACTTTGGATCTGTGTTTTTTTTGTTTATAGAAAGCGTATTAGCTGTTCAGTAAATGTTAATTATTTATTTATTTTATTTTTTAAATTAATTTATTTTTCATAGTTCCTTTTGCCAAATGCTCTTGGTACGCCCCTGTATAGTATGTATGAAGTTAATCTTGTAACTGCTGTTTTTTTGTAAAATGTTCTCTGTGAAGTCTAACAAGAGACAAAGTTCTGTTTGCCAGTATTTTCTCTTATCAGTTATGTAAATAATGTAAGGGCCTGTTTGGTATCTAAGGGTTATCATGTCAAAAGGATATCTATTCTAAGCATACAGAAAACCATGTTATGTTAGAAATTTTGTTGAACATGTCCTTTTAACTCTTGCACTCTCCTCTTTAACTGATATGCTCACGTAAAGTCAAAATAAATCTCCTATAACAATCTAGAGATTAAAAATTAATAGCCAAAAAGAACAACACCAACACCCCAAAAAGTTCTACATACACTCTATAAAGCTAAAAAATGAGGGGGTGTGTTCACTGAAATCAGAAATGAGTTAGCAAATGAGGATTAGAATATGAACATATTCAAAACTTTTTTTCTCTTCAGTATAAAAGCAGACCCCTTAGCGGTTGATATGAAAATCACCCACTCCCCTCCACTAGCTTTTCAGCCATTTAGTTTTTTTTTAATTAGGCTTTCTCTCTCTCTCTCTCTCTCTCTCTCTCTCTCTCTCTCTCTCTCTCAGGGGTGGCTTTGTGTGTAGTGGTTGCATTTTTAATGCTGGGGTATATTTGTATACAGTATTATTATTAGTATTTTATATAGCGCCAACAGATTCCGTA